CCTCTGAACTTCGGGGCCTCCACCTTCCCAAACCTTCTCTATCCGGCGGCGAACAAACGTGTCGATCTCCCAGGTCAACCTTTCCAAAAGTGCGGGTGGGCCTCCATCTTTCCAGATATCCTTCTCGTCCGTTTCCCCTCGGGAGTCCATGGGTTCTCGAGGTCCATCATCGGCAGATGCCAATGACCTCCGAACCTCGGGGCTTCCATCTTCCCTCTTTGTCGCCTGCTTTCGCCTGCACTACGGCGGCCTATGACTGTTGTCCTTCAACAGAGCGGTCATGGGTTTTCGAGGCTCACCACTAGGGGAAAGCCAATGGCCTCCGAACCTCGGGGCTTCCATCTTCCCTCTGGCATTCGTCGTTCAACTTATCTCGCCGACGGGCAAACGAATGCAGAGCTGGGCCAGTGGGGCTCCACTGCCGTAGTTGATCTTCTAGATCCAAAATCATCTTCTCCAAAAAACGTTCTCTGTTTCTTTCACTTCTCATTTGCTACAGGGCCAAGCTTCAGGGCCTCCATCTTCCTCACTCCGTCGGAGCTCCGATTGCCTGGGCCTCCAACGCCGACTGAGAGAAAGAGTTGAGAGGACGAGGATGACGAGGCCCTTGACAAAGAAACGGAGGACGAGAATAAGGCGGGAGGGCGATGACGACGGTGAGGGCGACTGGAGAAACACGAAATGAAGATCAGCGTGGAGGAGAATGATGGGATCTTCGTACGTCTCAAGGGTGCGATGGGGATTACCAGGAGCGTCTGGGGACGTCGGTGAGTCACTGCGGGGCCTCACAAGGGCGTGTCGGGTGCTTATTGGGAGCCTGCCGGGGGGTCCTCTTGGAATGTCTGGACTGATTGGGCGTGACTTGGAAAACGTTGGGGCTCTATTGGGCCGTGTTGGTGCCGCCTCGGGCCGCCTTGGGGGTCTCGTGGGCCGCCTTGGGGTGCATTTTGGAGCATTTGCGCAACACCACGTGCGGGGAAGAGAACCAGGGAGAACCAGGGAGGAGGGTTGGGCATTAGCCAGCCGGAAGGCTGGCCGACGCCTGGGCTGTATCCACCGCAAACTCTCCCTACCCCAGCAGCCAGGCCCGTCTTGGGAGGGCCTGCGCAGCTGGAAACCTACCTTGCGAGAACGGTGGCTCTGCGCCCGCAGTGGTGAAGCCGAGGCGGTGGGACTCGCTGAGGGTCACACCGCAGACAACCACGGGTCCTGGAACCGAGACGAACAAATCTTGAGGCCACTTTGTGGCCCCTTTCACAAACGCGCTCCGAGGCACAGACCTCCAGAAAACCGTCCCAGGTAGAAAAGCTCCCCCACCTGGAACAACCTGAAACGCTTGCCACACTTTGTGACACGGTGGGCCCTACACGGGCGGCCCGATCCTTCATGGTCCCCGTTCGGGCTCTCCGGGACCTTCCGGGGAGTCATTGGGCTTGGTGGGGTCGGCCGCTGCAGAGCCCGCCAAAGCTCTGCGGGCCCTCCTCCGCGCATCCTCGGTGAGACCGAGCTCCCTGTTGCGCTCGGCTGCTTCACACACGGGCATGTCGGCCGCAGAGTTGCCAGCAGCCAATCAGCGTTCCTCGGACGTAAGACTAGAACCATCAGGATCCACATGGGAGGGGACCCAAACGACTGTAACATCGGCTCCGTCACGGCTCCCCAGAGTCCTTCTGATGCGCAACCAGAGGTCCCCGTTGCGCCCGTCGCAAGCACGACACCTACCCCACTCACCCCACGAATAGTGGCATGTGGTCCGTAACAAACCGGACGGGGCCCACACGACCCCCACGGGCCAGAGCGGAAGCGGTGAGTTCGGCCCTGGGGGCCGCCTGACTACGGCCGACAAGGCCGACCGAAACTCCCCCAAGAACTTCGAAAACACCGCCCTGTTGCTGAACAGCGACTGCTCCTGCGCCGCAACGACGGCGACGAGGGTCGGACGAGAACCCCCCCCGAGCCGTCGCCGAAGATAATTGCGACGGCGCCCGCAACGCAGCAGCCCATGAGCGAACGCTCCTGCACGGAGACAAGCGAAGTACCCTGCTCAAACAAAAGACGGGTGGGTAAGCTCGGACGGGCCACGCATGCCTTCTAGCACTGGGCCCTGGGCCCGCCCACCACCGCCATCGCGCGGCCATGCTCGCGGAAAAGACTCTCCTTAGCGAAGCGCCCCAGCTCGCGACGATCCAAACATAGATCACCCGTTCCTTCCAAATCAGAGCCCGATTCGTGCTGAGAAGCAAATTGCCTCAGGTGCGCCCTGAGGTCGAACCACAAATCGTCCAGAAGTTCAGACACCTCGAAATCGCTGGGATCATCGCCTGGTTTGGTAGAGGAAGAGACTAGTCCTCCACAGTGTCACCAAGGGTGCGACGCTGCCAAACAAAAGCCTCTCTGGGATCCAACCCCAAGTCGAGCCGGGTAGCCTGAACAGCTGAGACGGAGCCCTTGATCGTCTGCCATCTGCCCTTGCCCGCGCGCCGGGGAAGACGAAGCAAATGCCCCCAGGCTCTCTGGATCTCGGCACGCAAGGGGGGGCTTGCACCAAGAAGCGAAACACTCGCTAATCAGCTGCTTGCGAAGCTCGACCCCAGGGCAGGGCCCTCGAGACCTGAATGTGCAGCGAAAGCCGTGGTGAGACAACGCCCAAGACGTCTGCCGCGCGCCGCTGTACCGGCTTGACTGCGCAGTGTAAGAACGATGCTGGACGCATGCCCTTGCACCCGGTGAGCACGCGAGCCTTCAGGTATGTCGGGGTTTCGGCTGGTGCCCGCTCGTGGGCGCCTCGTGGGCGCCCCGTGCGCAGGGTGGCGCCGCCTCGTGGGCACTCTGGTGGGTCGGCCGGGGTTGCGCTTGGCCGAGGTTGCGCCACGTTGCCGCCGGTGCCGCCTCGTGGGCGCCTGGCGTGCGCCCCGTGCGCTTGGTGGGTCGGCCGAGGTTGCGCCACACTGCCGCTCGTGCCGCCTCGTGGGCGCCATGTGGGCGCCCTGTGCGCTGGGTGGGTCCGCCGAGATCGCGCCACGTTGCTGCCCGTGCCGCCTCGTGGGCGCTCGTAGGCGCCCCGCGGCTCAGCTTGCACCACACATATACGTGTATATATATATATATATGTATATATATACATATAGATACATATAGACATCCAGCCGTGTAGCTTGCACGACATGGCTTACACCACACAGCTGGAACCGCATAGCCGACACAACATTTCATTCGCTACATAGATTACATCGCATAGTTTGCACCTCCACCTCACACTGCATATATTACCTACACGACCACCCTTCGGGTGATACGGAGGTTGTGTGTGGGGGGGAACCAACATCTGACTCAATCGATCTCACTATCGATCTCAATCAACGGGACACCACGGGACACCACGGAACACCACGGGACACCACGGGACATTTGTCGATCTCACTATCGATCTCACGATCGATCTCACTCAACGGGACACCACGGGACACCACGGGACACCGCGGGACACCGCGAGCCACCGCCGGATGGACGGACGGACGGGCGGGCGGGGGAGAATCATTTGTCTTGACTTCGCCCTAGCAACGGCGGGTTCATTTGTCTTGACTTCGCCCTAGCAACGGCGGACACCACAGGACACCACGGGGCCACCGCTGGACGGGCGGGCGGGGGAGAATCATTTGTCTTGACCTCGCCCTAGCAACGGCGGCTTCATTCCTCTCGCGCGCCCACGCAGCTTCGCCTCGCCCGCCCGCACGACACGAACGAAACGAAACGATTTCCCGGTTGGGGGTCTCCGTTCTACTGCGATCTCACCCCCCAACCTCCGATACTGCATAACGTACAGCACAACTATTCCGCAACATTGCGTACACGGCGTAGCCGTCATCTCCAGAACTCACACCACATAGCCACATAGCCTACGCCACACAGCTTGCACAACATAGCTTGCACAGCTTTGCTTCCAACTCCAGAATGCAACCGCTCACTGGTTTGGGCCTACGCTGGCGAACTTTCCTCGAGGATCCGAAATGCCCCTTCCACGACTGACTCCTTCAGGCAGGATTCCCTTTGTAAAGACTCCCTGGTATGGGTTCATTTTGAGCTGGCGCGTCGGCCGCGCCGCTCGCGAAAGGAACAATTATTAGATCGAGTCTTAGGGGGGGATATTCTAGATCGATGTGTATATGGAAACCTTTGTACCCATGTGCGCGTGGCTTTATATACACATTCATGGCGCCGTGCGTCGACACAACGGCTGAATGCACTGCCCTGTCGCTTAAACAGGATGACCTAAGCAACATCCCAACACGCCTTCGTCTAGCTACCTCATCTTATCTCACCCTCTCCTCAGTTTCGAGACGATCGTCCCTCCTGCCCTTCCCTCTTCTCTCTTCCTACTCCTCCCTTCTCCTCCCCCCTACCCCTCCTCACCTCCCCGTTCCTTCCTCCCTCCCCCTCCTCCCTTCTCCTTCATCCTTCCCACGTCGCCATATAATCCCCCCCCTCTCCTCCCTTCCACCCGTCCTCACCCCTCCACCCTGGCAAGGCGGCCGCGTCGTCCACTTTTGCGCTCAGCGCCGCGCAGCCGAACAGGTCGGGCGTGTCAAGGCTGAGGCGCACGTTGCCTATGTGTTCCTCGGGGGGGAGGGGAACACGGGGCGAGGGGGGACGAAGCGCGCGAAGAGGAGTAACTTGCACACCATCAGCAAGATGTGGGTGAATGTACCAGGATGAGTTTGAGGAGGGAGAAGGGGGTAAGGGAGGAGAGGAGAAGAGGGATACATAACAATGAAGTGAGGCGGGCTCCAGGAGCAGGAAAAGGCGGTGAATGAAGGAAGAAAAGGAAGAGTCGAGGAGATATTCGCAGGGGGTGGGGGAGATTGGCACGGTCGGTCGCCCACGCGCGCGCGGCGACGCTCGCTCGACGAAGAGGCGTTGCTTGCCTTTGGTGGTTGCCATGGTGGCCGACGCCATGTCAAGGCGTGCGGGGACGTCGACGCGAAAGACGATGCAAGTAATGAGGCCAGTCTCGTCGGGGTCGCAGTCGACGGTGAAAAGGCAGACGGGCAGCTCAGGCACGTCAACATGACTCGAGAGCTCTTCCTGTGCGTGACTGCTGGCGCCACGAACGGCCAACAACACTTTGGTGGTACCGTTTGCGGAGAGCGGGCCAATCGGGAGACTTCTGTACGCGCGGCCCCAATTCGGAGGGAGCATCTCTGGTCAGCTGATGCTTTAGACCGTGCCATGCGCTGGCGAAGCTATACAAAAACCCTCGGACGAACAGCAGTAGGACCCAAGGGAACATGCTCCAACACTGGATAACTCCCCTGGCGGAAAGAACAACAGGAACACGTGAGGAGCAGGATCCGTACCAACGTGAGTCCCCACGCAGTACGTCATTGCACTCTGGATGTCTTGTGTGGTGCAAACTATCGATGTGGCGCAAACGTGTAGTGCAATCGATGTGGTGAAACCTGTGAGGTGCAACTCATGTTGTACAAGCTATGTGGTGCAAGCTCCGTGGTGCAGCTCACGCGGTGTAGCCCAAGCAGTGTCATACATACACACACATATATATATACACACATATATATATATATATATATATATATATATATATATATGCACACTATACATCTACATACTGGAAGCTCGCGCACGCTTCGCGCGCGCTTCGGTTCTAGCGCAACCCATGTCGCCGGATTGGCACGCGGGTCAAAGTTTACGGGGTCGTCGGGGGGAATCATTGGATAATCCTGGGGGCGGGTTCGCTGTCAGAGAGGGGGTGCGGAAGCCTGGGGTTGGTTATGGGATGTCGCAGGGCTTCCTTGGACTGGAACTGAATTGGGGCTGCTTTGGCACTGTCTTGGGGTGGCAAGAACCGCTGGCCCCAATGGCGCCGTCCAGGGATGCCATATCGTTGCCAAGACACGCAAGTCTTAGCTTGCGGGCTCGTCGGGGAGATCCCTGAACAGCATTGGAGCTCTGAGTGGCTTTCTGACGCAACGTCGAGGCCGCATGAACATTCGCTGGAAAATTGGTACGCAAGCCACATAGCATACCTACTCAAAAGGACGCGGAGGAGGAGGAAGAGGAGGAGGAGGAGGAGGAGGAGGAGGAGGAGGAGGAGGAGGAGAGGAGGAGGAGAAGGCGGAGGAGCTAGAGAGGGGGCGCGTAGCGGCAGCCAGCCTGGCTCGGGGCCGCCCTCGGCCCCCAGCGGCGCGGCAGGACCTTCAGCAGCGAGGCCAGGTTGTTCACCGAGGCGAGCGTGCTGGGGTGCCGGGCGCCTTAAGACCTCGCGGCGTGCCTGCAACGCCTCGCGGACGAGCGACTCGGCGCCGGCGAGGTCCCCCTGGTCATGCAGCAGCCTGGCCAGGTTGTTCACCGAGGTGAGCGTGCTGGGGTGCCGGGCGCCGAGGACCTCGCGGCTAGCCTGCAACGCCTCGCGGTAGAGCGGCTCGGCGCCGGCGAGGTCCCCCTGGGCCTGCAGCAGCGTGGCCAGGTTGTTCACCGAAACGAGCGTGCGGGGGTGCCGGGCGCCGAGGACCTCGCGGATTGCCTGCAACGCCTCGCGGTAGAGCGGCTCGGCGCCGGCGAGGTCCCCCTGGGCCTGCAGCAGCGAGGCCAGGTTGTTCACCGAGGCGAGCGTGCTGGGGTGCCGGGCGCCGAGGACCTCGCGGCGCGCCTGCAACGCCTCGCGGTAGAGCGGCTCGGCGCCGGCGAGGTCCCCCTGGGCCTGCAGCAGCCTGGCCAGGTTGTTCACCGAAACGAGCGTGCGGGGGTGCCGGGCGCCGAGGACCTCGCGGATTGCCTGCAACGCCTCGCGGTAGAGCGGCTCGGCGCCGGCGAGGTCCCCCTGGGCCTGCAGCAGCGAGGCCAGGTTGTTCACCGAGGCGAGCGTGCGGGGGTGCCAGGCGCCGAGGACCTCGCGGCGCGCCTGCAACGCCTCGCGGTAGAGCGGCTCGGCGCCGGCGAGATCCCCCTGGGCCTGCAGCAGCCTGGCCAGGTTGTTCACCGAGGTGAGCGTGTCGGGGTGCCGGTCGCCGAGGACCTCGCGGCATGCCTGCAACGCCTCGCGGTAGAGCGGCTCGGCGCCGGCGAAGTCCCCCTGGGCCTGCAGCAGCCTGGCCAGGTTGTGCACCGAGGTGAGCGTGTCGGGGTGCCGGGCGCCGAGGACCTCGCGGCATACCTGCAACGCCTCGCGGAAGAGCGGCTCGGCGCCGGCGAGGCCCCCCTGGGCCTGCAGCAGCGTGGCCAGGTTGCTCACCGAGGCGAGCGTGTCGGGGTGCCGGTCTCCGAGGACCTCGCGGCGCGCCTGCAACGCCTCGCGGTACAGCGGCTCGGCGCCGGCGAAGTCCCCCTGGTAACGCAGCAGCGTGGCCAGGTTGTTCACCGAGGTGAGCGTGTCGGGGTGCCGGTCGCCGAGGACTTCGCGGCGCGCCTGCAACGCCTCGCGGAAGAGCGGCTCGGCGCCGGCGAGGTCCCCCTGGTCCTGCAGCAGCGAGGCCACCCTGTCTTTCAATCGGATGATGTTCTGCTCTCCGTTGTCTTCATGATGGCTCTGCAACGCCTTCCGCCCCTGCTCCGTCAACCAACCGCGCAGCGAGGAGCAGACGGTCGAAGTGACCGTGCCGAGGCCACCGTCCAACATCCGCACCTGTCCGAGGATGCAGTCACGGTCCTCGGGCTTGCTGACCTGAGCTTTGCGCGCGTCCAGGCCGGCGATGATGCCGGCGATGTCATCGAAGTGTTTCGTCAATAGCTCCTCGAAGCTGCTGACATCGGCGGGGGGCAGCACGACGTGAAGCCGCGCTGGCTTGGCCAGCGCCATCACCATCTCGAGCATGCACCACGCGCGTGTCATGGCGCCCGGGCCGCGGCGCATCCAGTCTGGCGGCGGGTCACCTATGTCTGGCAACAGGTATGGGTGCTGCGGAGCGCGCCACTGTTCAGTGAGCGGCGATGCGTACAGGAGCAACTCCTCAATCGCATCGAGGGCGTGGTCGAAGATCGTGTCGGTGTCCTCTTTCCGCTCCCTGTAGCCAGGACTGCACTTGGGGTGGCTTGCCTCGTCGCGGAAATCACCGGCGAGGAGCGTCTGAGAGGCGGCGAACATATCCACCCAAACGAAACGGCGCCGTCCATCGGCAGCCTCCAATTCAAAGACCTTGTTCTGGATCGCCGTCAGCATGTCCCCCAGCCTGGTACCTGTCCAGGAGTAGGAGGAGAACGTGGTCGCGTGGCCTACCAGCCCGCTGGCGTCCTCCCCCTCCCGCGCGGCGAGCACGATGGTCTCGGCGAGCGACAGCCCAGTCGACCGCGTGAGCGCGCAGACACTCGCGGCGAAATTTGCCTCCTTGCACACGTCGCCCATCACCTTCCCGAGCGCCCCCTGTGCGGCGTAGAAGGTTCGCAGTGCCCCCAGCGCGACGAGGCTGAGGCCGCGCTCGCCGCTGGGCACCCTGTCCGCGTGCCGCTGGACCGGCGTCGTCAGGGGCGCCACGGACGGCCTGGCCTGCTGCTGCAGGCGGCCCAGGAGAGCCGCGGCGAGAGCTCCAACCCCCTCCGCCTCCTCGCCGCGGCCGCCCTCAGCAGGGCGATCGGCCTCGGCGGGCGCCGCGTCGGCGCAGCAGGCGAACATGATGTTCATGGCGGCCGCCGCCGCTCAAGCGGGCCCCCGCGCCGGACGCGGGTGGGGGGGGGCCGGGCCTGCCGCGTCTCGCAGGCTTCAGCCACAGGGAGCTTGAGCCAAAATGGCTACGGGGGGCCCCTCTGGGGCCGTCTTGGGACTCTCCTGTGGGCTTCGTGGGCCGTCTTGGGGCGGTCTATGGAGAGTCGGAGGTCGTAAAGGACGGTGCGAATACCAAAAAAACAAATATGGTAAAAATGCACATTTTACGAAGGGAGCGGGGCTATCTTTGCTTCCCGGGGCCGTCTGGAGGGATCTCTTGGAGGGGTCTTCGAGCGTCTTGGAGGCGCCTGGTCCGGTCTGGGGCGGTTCGAGACGCCTTTTGAGCCGCCGGAGACAGCTGGAGGTTGTCTTCAGGGTGGCCGTGGGCGGCCTGGGGCCGCCTGGACGGCCGCCCGGGCGCTCCGGGGGCCGACCTGGGGCCCGCCGGGGAGCGGGCTGGGCCCGACGCCCCCCCATTTGCTGTCGGGGCTGCGGCCCCGGGCCCCCCGGGCCCGGTGCGGCGTTATATGTAGACTCAATGGTTTCAGCTGTGATTATACAATGTCATTTCCCTGGGAATGCTCGCGGGGAGGAATGGGGACTTGTGGAGTACGGGGACGAATGCGGGGAGGTGTGGAATAGCGTGGGGACATGATAAGGTGATGCATGGAGAGAAGTGCGATTGGCTGGGAAGGCGCGCGGAAGAACGAAGCGGACTGGTGTGGAAGGGCAACGACTGGAATAACATGACTGGAGTATCAGAAAATAGGTGTATGTGTGTATGCTAGTGTGCTTGTATGTATGTATGTATGTATGTATATCTGCATGCATGCATGCATGCATGCATGTATGTATGTGTGTAGGCAAGTCTATGGGTATGTGCGTATGTACGTACGTAGGCATGTATGCATGCATGGATGTTTGCATGCACGCATACATGCATAAATGCACGCATGCATGTACGCATGCATGTAAGACAAAACATGACGCGCACCATCGGCCCGGAGGCCGTCCCGAGACGGGCGGCGCGGGGGCGCCTCGGCGCCTTCAGTTCTTGAAGATCAGGAATGTCTCGGTCGTCTCCAACCAGCGCTTGAAAGGCCGGCCTGGTCGCCGAACGTGGCGGTCAGGATTCCAGTCGAAGGCAAAACGTGCCCAAGATCCGGTGTCCGAGCGCACTCGCTCAAGCCAAAGAACTGCCGCTCTGCGGTGTTCACTGACCCAATCTCGTAGCTTCAGTCTAGACATGTGGCGTTCGACTTCTCTCGTCGCCCTACGAATCCAATCTTGCCAAGGCTCCAATTCCACACTTTGGCCAGTCGTAGACATAACAGAAGATGATGAATGCGAAGACGAAGAACTGGGTCCTGGTGAGCCTGGCTCAAGAACTCTCCTGCTGCAGCGCACAATCATGCGGGGCATTTTTCGTTGCGTTCTCCGGAGATTGTCCTCTAGCTCCTTGGTCAGTGCCCACGTTGCTGCCCCATAAAGCAACGTCGTAGACACGGTGCAGTCAAAAAGCCGAAGGCGCGAGTATAATGGATATCTGCGGTCTGTCAGTTCATCACGTTGTTGCATAAAGCGTGCCCATGCCATGTGGATCCTGTGGTCAATCTCCACATCGTGGGGGCGATCGAAGCTCACCTGCCGGCCCAGATATTTGACCTTCCCGCTGTACGGTACGATCTCAATCTTCATGTCGCCCACCATGGTGCTCGTGTCTTTCGGGCGTCCCGTGCCTCGCGTCGTGTTGCCCAGGATCTTCGTCTTGTCTGGATGCAATGCGAGCCCCACTTCAGCCGCCTCATTCCGGACGTCGGTGAGCATGGCTTTCAGTTGCCGAAGATTTGCCGCTACAAGTCAAACGTCATCCGCAAAACGTAAATTTGTTATTTGCCGCAGATCTGTAAAACCAAGCTTTAAGCCCCATCCTTTCCTTAGCCATTTCGTCTTCACGACGGACATCACATCTTCTAAAAGAGCGTTGAAAAGCAGCGTGCTGAGCGGATCTCCCTGTTTTGTGCCGCGGTGGATATGGTAAGGCTTGCTCAAGCGGTCGGTGCGTGCCCGGGCCGATTGCCCAGCATACAGTTGTCGAAATAAATTGATATATCCAGCAGGAACTCCTTGTCTCTGAAAAGCTGCCCATAAGCTCTGATGTTCCACGCAATCAAATGCTTTTTTGAAATCAATGGCAGCTACCCGAACATTCTGTTGCCACTCCTGGCACTTCTCTTGCAGCTGTGTGAGAGCGAACAAATGGTGCACAGTACTGAGGCCTTGGCGAAATCCTGTTTGATCGATCGTCTGATTTTTGTCCAACATTGGGTGCAACCTTCCATAGAGCAGCTTGGCAAATAACTTGCACAGCATCGGGATGATCGTAACAGGGCGATAATTTTGAGCATCTGCGGCGTCCCCAGACTTGCAAAGCACTGTCACGACCGATTGTTTCCACGCCTCCGGAGGGGGAGCAGTCGGCGAAAGTATGTTGTTGTAGAGGTCGAGCAATGCACTTGCGATGGCGGGGCCCCCGTGCTTGATCATCTCCGCAAATGCGCCTTTCGAGTCGCAACACTTGCCGTTCTTCAGGTTCTTGATCTGCGCCCTAAGCTCGGCCATCGTGAAAACCGGCACGACGTCTGCATCCGTGGCCCGGTCCGAAGACGCAAGAGCTTCGCCGACAAATGATGATTGATACAAATTTGCGTAACACTCAGCGAACACGTCCGCTATCCCCTGCCGGTCTGTTCTGGTCTGTCCAGATGCGTCTGTCATGTTCGCGATCAGTTGTTTCTTCTTCAATGTCTTAATTGCTGGGATGCTCTTTGTATCACGGAATACCGCCAATGCAAATTCAATGTTTGATGCGGCCCGTTTCCGTCTCAATGCTCTCACTTCTCTGCAAATCTGTTTGCTCAGCTGAGTCCGTTCCTTCCCGCCGGCGCTTTCCAGCGCTGTCCTTTGCGCCGACAATCGGCGGAACAAGGCATCATCATCAGTATGATTATGGTCCGGGCTGTGCTCGAAACGGGAACTTGCAGCTGAGTCGACCAGTAGCTGCTCGATCGTGTCGCCATCGCGACCAGGGGCACTCGTGAGCTCGACAGCTTGGGCTCGAACAGCAAGCGCTTCTCGAAACCGGCGTTCATCTAAATCTTGCCATCGCAACCGATGGCCGTTCTTCGGTTGTCGTTCTCGTTTGGCGGCATGGCGAAAGCGCAAATTCAGGATGACCGGTTTGTGGTCGGACCTCATGTTCAAAGCCGTCGTCGTGCAAGAACCAAGAACAAATGGCATCAACTTGAAATCGGCAAGAATATAATCAATCTGTCGTTCGTTCCCACTCGGACCGACGTGCGTGATCTTGTAAACATCCCTCTTGGAGAAAAACGTGTTTGATAGGCTAAGCCTCTCAGTGCACGCCCACGCCTTCAACCATTGCCCTCTCGCGTTCCCCCCTGTCAACCCATACGGGCCGATACGCGCTTCTACGTCGCCCTCCCCTCGCTTCCCGGCCTCCGCGTTGAAGTCGCCAGCCAATATAAAATGTGAACGTCGACGTTTGGCCTCCCTGTGAAGCACAGACAACGCATCGTACATGCCCTGAACATGGAAATCAACATACCCACTATGCGGAAAATTAGCGGAAACAATAGGGAGTTTCCGAGCATTGCTAACGACGCCAATTTAACACAATCTCTCGGAAACGCGCCAAACCTCCGCACTCCGAGTGCCCACCGCTTGTGTATAAGGATGGCGGCTCCTCTTGATCCGTGCTCCCACCCGCTCGCTGCGAACACATGATCTCCATGACATACAAAATACTCACGTTCATCACGGCGCCACGTCTCATTCAGGCAGACAAAATCCCACCCACCGGGCCCAAGTTCATGAAGTAACTCGAGTAAACGATCGTCTCCCAGTAGCCCCCGACAGTTAAGATGGATCACGTTGATATTGGTGATGACGCTAGTCTTGGTGTGCTCTGTGTTACCGGCAACACCGCTATCCGAAGTACGTGCATGTGATTTCGCACGCAGCTGCGTCTTTACGCCGCGCAGCACTGCCAAAGGAACATATCCACATACTGTTTGAAAAACTCCCCATCCTCCACCTGTCGATGGCGCCGGGAACCTGGTAAGAACTGGATCTTCTTGAGGCTGTGCTCGTACATGTACATGTCCTCCTCCACTCCCCTCTCTCCTCCCTTGACCTCTACCTGGACGTTCTTCCCGTCAGGAGGTCTGGCTGCCGCCGGCCCCCTTCCCCTTCCCCTTACCCTGATTCTCCGCCGCTTTGCTCAGCTTCTCGTTTGCGGTCTCCAGCAATTTCTTCAGTTCCTCGCTCTGCTGGAGATCCTCCCACGAACCCCACGTCGGGTCTACCCAATCGTTCACCAACTTGTTCTTCTCAACCTTAATCTTGAGCACCGGTACCTGGCGCACTTTGAGGGTGTTGGTCGATTCTTCTACCTTCAGCTCGGACTTGGAGAAGCCCCAATTCAAGAGCTGCCACCGCAAACCAAGAAGGTAAGATGGTTGGGCGCGTTCCAAAATAGGCTTGTCAGGCTTGCACCAAACATCGTGCCCTCCGACCTTCTCTCGATTCCCTCGCATCTCTTTGACCAGCTTGGTGAGATCTTCCTCCTTGTCGAATTTCAAAAACAAAAGGCCTTTGAACTCATCCCCCTTGTGGTACATCTCGGTGGGGGGCGTGATGTTTAACTCCCCGAGCTTTTTCGTCACCCACTCCTCCGCTGACTGTTCATCCAAACATCCCAGCCCTCCGAAGACTGCCACCTTCTCCCCTCCACCCCCCAGGTTCTCATGCCGCGGCGTGCATTTGAGCGCCTCCCCGTTCACGATCTCCTTCACCATATTTGGAAGCTCCTCCTTGATATTGCTGACCTCCTCCTTGACTGCCTCCACCGCCTGTTCGGCCATGTTTGCTGCGAACTTGGCCTGTTGAGCGAGGACCTTGGCACCTTCCGCCTCCTTCCTCGTGTCTCGCATATCCTTCCTCATATCTTGCATCATGGTCATCATCCTTTTCAGCATGTCCTTCGCGCTCATGTCCACATCCCCTTCGTC